ATTTTCTCCTGCCGAGGGGAAACAGAGGAGAAATGGGCAGTGGACCTCAGAATGGTCCTCAGTGAACATCCAAGCCCTTAAAACAGGGAACCGACACTCCCTTTCCACTCAAGCAATTATCCTGATTAATTCAGAGTTAGTGGAAATCTTATTTACTTGCATCTGATTTAGACATGATTTTCTGGATTATTGTGAAATCAAGAGCATGGTAAAGTATCTTATTCTACACACATGCATTCTTTTTAGGAATGGATCTGTCCCCCACTCATCTCCTTCAAAATAATTATCTGTTGCTGGTGTGTGTGTGTGTGTGTGTGTGTGTGTGTGTGCATTTCTTCCTCTAGATTAGGACAGTACTTGCGCTTTCCTAAATTCTGAAGGATAAAATAGAGCCACTGATGACAACATAATTAAGGAGAACTTCCATATTCTGCATCAGTTTACTTTTGATTATAAGATTTCAATCAATCAGAATAGAAATGGAAGGGAGCTTCAAGGTCTTCTAGTCCAACCTCCGGCTAAGGAAGAGACCTAGACCATTTCACACAGATGGCTGTCCAGTTTTTTCTTAAAAACCTCCAGTGATGAAATATCCACAAATTCTGAAGGCAAACTGTTCCACTGCTTAATTTTCCTCACTCTTAGGAAGTTTCTCCTTAATTCCAGGATGCTTCTCTCCTTGATTAGTTTCCATCCATTGCTTCTTGTCCTGCCTTCAGGTGCTTTGGGGAATAGCTTGACTCCCTCTTCTTTGTGGCAGACCCTCAAATACTGAATACTGCTATCGTTGTCATCCCTAGTTCTTTTCTCTAGACTAGCCACACCCAATTCCTGCAACTGTTCTTCGTATATTTTTATCTCCAGGCCTTTAATCATCTTAGTTGCTCTTCTCTGGCCTTTTTTAAAAGTTTCAACATCTTTTTTGTAATGTGGTGACCAAAACTGAATGCCGTATTCCAGGTGTGATCTTACCAAGTCTTTATAAAGCGATACTAATACTTCATGTGATTTTGATTCTATGCCTGTTTACACAACCAAGGATTGTATTAGCTTTTTTGGGCTGCTGTTGCACAATTTTCAGAATAGGTAAAATATAAAATTTGCCCATCGTTGTTGAAAGAGAGAATGTTGGCTATATAAAGCAGTATTTTAATAGTTCTTTGTATTGTGTGACGGGATGGTGTACTTGTAAGAAGTCGTCCAACAGGCTTTACAAATGACAAATATAGGTTAATCCTTAACTAGAGCAAGGTTATGCTTTAGCCAGCAGAGGGAGACTTTGAAAAATACGATTTTAAGGAAAGAGCAGTAAGAGGCTGAAATAGGTCATCAGGCCTTTGTGCAGCTTCTGTTGCATGCCACAAAAACAAATCATTTTGCTGAGCACACAAGGTGTACAAAGCTACATAACCCCCCCCTTCTCAATTTCTTCTCCCTATTCCTCTACTTATATTGTACAGCAGCTTAATCTTTTGGGGTTGGAAGTGTTACATCCTTTGAAGGCATACTGGATTGGAATTAAAATTGGAATGAACTAATAAAATGCTAGAAAATGCATAGAGAAATTGTGGTATACTGCACTGAGTTCCAGGTTAATTTGATAGGAATCTGGACTGAAGGCAGCATCCCTTTGGAAGAATTGTTGCCAGAAGCCATTGCAGTGAATCTGCTCTCCCTCCAGCTATTTGTGGCCTTCGACTTCTGTTATTCCTCACCATTAGCCATGCTGTCCAGAATAGAAAAGTGCTCCAACCATAGAGGGATGGAGAACACCCTTTAAAACAATAACAACCACAATAACAATAATGTTGGAAGGGACCTTGGAGGTTATCTAGTCCAACCCCCTGCTCAGGCAGGAAACCCTATACCAGCGGTTCTCAACCTGTGGGTCGCGACCCCATTTGGGGTCGAACAACCATTTCATGGGGGTCGCCAAACAACGCAGTCCGCCATTTTTTCCCCTTTTCCTTAGCTGTGCTACTCCCTTTTATTCTATTGGCTTTTGAAAGCCATAGAATAGACTCTCTTGAATAGAGTCTAATTCTATTGGCTTTCAAAAGCCAATAGGAATTGTCCAGGCTGTCTCTGCCCTGCTGAGCCCGCCAAAAGTCCCATTCTGCAAACGGTGCTGCAAGTTGTCTGCAGTGAAGGCGAGCTGTTTGGAAGTTTCCACCCCTCCCTGCTGAGCAACTACTAAAAATGTAAGTAAAAGAGGGCCAGGGGTGGGAGTGGGAGGCCGGCGGGCGCAGGGAGGGTTGCTGGCATGTGTGGGGCCTGGCAGGTGCCTTACCTCCCTTGGGCTGGGCTAGCTGGTGGCCCAGTCAGTGGTCGGCCTGCGCCGTCTCTGCCACTTGCCAGCTACGCCTCAGCCGGTGCAGGGGGCGGCACCACGCATGCGCGGCGCTCCCGGGCATGCGTGTTGCCAACCAGTTGGGTAATCCTCAACTTACAACCGGTTGGGTAGTCCTCGACTTACGACCGGTTGGGGGTCGTGGCATTAAAAAGGTTGAGAACCACTGCCCTATACCATTTCAGACAAATGGCTATCCAGTCTCTTCTTAAAAACTTCCAGTGTTGGAGCATTCACTGTTTCTGGAGGCAGATTGTTCCACTGTTTAATTGTTCTGTCAGAAAATTTCTTTTTAGTTCTAGGATGCTTCTCTCTTTGATTAGTTTCCATCTGTTGCTTCTTGTCCTGCCTTTAGATGCTCTGAACTGAAGAATAGCTTGACTCCCTCTTCTTTATGGCAATCCCTGAGATATTGGAACACTGCTATCATGTCCCCCCCTCGTCCTTCTCTTCGTTAAACTAGACATACCCAATTCCAGCAAACATTCCTTATGTTTTAGCCTCTAGTCCTCTAATCATTTTTGTTGCTCTTCTCTGTACTCTTTCTAAAGTCTCAACATCTTTTTTACATCATGGTGAACAAAACTGGATGCAGTATTCCAAGTGTGGCCTTACCAAGGCATTGTAAAGTGGTATTAACACTTCACGTGATCTTGATTCTATCCCTCTGTTAATGCAGCCTGGCACTGTGTTGGCTTTTTTTGGCAGCTGCAGCACACTGCTGGCTCATATTTAAGTGATTGTCCACTGGGACTCCAAGATCAATATGTGAAAGCTTCCCACAGGGCATCAATGTTCTTATTTATAACTGCACTCAGCAATTAGTAGCAAAGAATCAAGGATAAGGCTGATGACTAAATTGGATGACTAAATTGATTTAATGCAGTTGCCAAAGAAGCTCTAAAAACAATGATCAGCTATTGCAGAATCTAGGAATAAAGCCATATTTAGGCCAAAGTTTAAATTGTATGCCCTTTTTTCCTGCCCTTGGTTGGTTTCTCACCCTGGATTGTAAAAGGGGTGTGTAATGTGTTTTGATAACGGTCCAATCGAGTTTTGGAGTTTACTTTCAGCTGAGCTGGCTTCAGCTTGCTCCAAAGGGAACCTGAGTAAAGTTAATCCATAATCTTCTTCCTTTAGCAAATTATTTTTACTTTCAGCCAACTGCTGAAAGTCCAACAATTTGGGCTTCAGAGCTATTATTTTGCTTAACGACAATATGATTCACTTAACAAGTGCTTAACAACTTTGCAAAAAAAAGGTCATAAAATTGGATGTAACTCACTTAACAACTACTTTACTTAGCAACCAAAATTATGATCCCAGTTTGGTTGTAAGTCAAGGACTCCCTGTTCTTCAAGCAAGGCAGAGTTGACCTTTCAGGGGCTAAATGAGGGACAGTCTGTCTTAATAAATGGCGCCAAATAATATGATTTGGACCCTGTCCACTCATCCTGTGCTATTAGCTTTCTAGAACTCAGCTACAGCAGGGGGGGCAGTGTGATTAGAATTGGCTACCACCAGCCTTGAGTTGAGATGAATCATATTTTCTTCTTCTATGACACAGCCCCATTCCTCCACAATATTTTGACAGATTGACAGAATGTGACTTAGTCTCTACGTAGGCTTAGAGGCAATTATTCCCTCTCAATAAGAATTGTGCACATATTGCAAGAACGTATTGCCAAACTGATCTAGTGTTTAAGATGCTGGCTTAGGAACTAGGAGACCATGAATTCTAGTCCTTAGGCATGAAAGTTGACTGGGTGACTTTGGGCCAATTACCAGAAGACTGTGAATTCTAGTGCCACCTTAGGCATGAAAGCCAAATAGGTGACTTTGAGCCAATCATCAGGAGAATGTGTGTTACGGTATCATCTTAGGCATGAAAGCTGGCTGAGTGGCTTTGGATCAGTCACTCCCTCAGCCCAATCCATCTCACAGGGTTGTTGTGGGGAAAATAGGAGGAGGAAGGAGCATAAGGTATGTTTGCTGCTATTTATAAAAAATAATAAAGGCAGGGTAAAAATCTAATAAATTAGAAAAAAACAACATACGGCTAGTAGTGAAACAGCTATTACAAATCCTGATTTGCTGGTGTTGTACTACTGCTCACAGAAAGTCTTGAATGTTTCAGAACAATTGGATAAAAATAAAATATCCAAGCCTTAACTTTAATTAGCTAAGCAAGGAGCAGCCCAAGGAATTTATATTTTCTCCCTTGCTCCAATCTACCAACTACTATACTGTAGAACAGTGGTTCTCAACCTTTTTAATGCCGCGACCCCCAACCGGTCATTAATCGAGGACTACTCAACTGGTCGTAAGTCGAGGACTACTCAACTGGTGCAGCACTGTTTGCAGAATAGGACTTTTGGCAGGCTCAGCAGGGCAGAGACAGCCTGGACAATTCCTATTGGCTTTTGAAAGCCAATAGAATTAGACTCTATTCAAGAGAGTCTATTCTATTGGCTTTCAAAAGCCAATAGAATAAAAGTGAGTAGCACAGCTAAGGCAAAAAAAGGGGGGGGGGGGAATGGCAGACTGCGTTGTTTGGCAACCCCTGTGAAATGGTCGTTCGACCCCAAATGGGGTCTCGACCCATAGGTTGAGAACCACTGCTGTAGAAGGAAGCGAAAAAAAACCCTCCATCACTTCAATACTTTTATTTATATAATACATATACACACACACATACACAAGTACTGTACACGCTTAACATTTCCCTTCCCCCTCGCACTGTACATTTCTCCTCTGTATTTCTCTTAATACAGGCTCTCTCTGGACAACAGAGCCAGCCGTAGTCCTCCCACCCCACCCCAGTCCCTGCTTGCACACAGTCTCTGGCCTAACGGTGTCCCGGAGCTTCCACCTTTTGCCACAGGAAGTTAACATGACTGAGCCGTGGGTATATGTCTCTGGCAGGAGGACCGCCTCCTCCTTCACCACTCAGGTGCCCCTGAGGGGCCTGGGATGGCAATCCAATGGTTGAGAAGGTAGAGGCAAGTTTGGTGGAAATTTGACATTTCTTAGGCTCCACCCCCTACATACAGTTGTCCAAAGATGCTGGTTGGCTTTCAATCCCAGCCATTATCCTTAATCATGTGGTTCAGTTCAATTATGAATTTGCCCTCCTTGTATTTCTGGCTAGTTTCAAAGGCCTGTTCCTGTAGAAGAAGAAGAGAAAGCAACAATACAGGTGGAAGTTTTACAGTTTTAGGGAAGGAGAGGAAGAGGGCACAAGGCAGGAGACTCACATATTTCCATCCAAGGGTGGTCTTGCAGTTTTCACAGTATATATCAGCTACAGCATGTAGGCCTGTCAGCAGAACACGTTCCTCTGCTGGGCCACATCCCACATTCACTCTGTAGGGAGACAAAAGACAGCACAATGTCATCTGGTTTTAACAGGGCCCCTGCGCCCAATCCTTTTCCTAGTATGAGTTCTACTTCGCCTTGAAATCACTGAAAATGGAAATCAATCAAGGGAGGAAATGAAAATGAAATGAAAGGAATGGAAATGAAAGGAATGGAATTGTTCTTTGAAGCTGGACCCATCGCTGCCATAACAATTGTTCTATTCCCTTTGTGGGTGCTTGACAAAGCTCGGGCTGGTTTGGTCTTCCAGTGGGAAAAAGGGTGGGATTTGATTCGATTCCCCCAGTTCTGTTAGGTTGGTTTGAACGCACAAACCAACAAGAGAAGAACAAGCCCAAAACTTTCTCACAAACTGGATATGAAGATGGAGATTATTCCAGGATTTGGATTATGTCCAGCTTCAGGGTCACTCGGTGACTTCAGAAGCAGCACCCAAGGGGGGAGGTCAGCCCACAACCCCCATGTGGAAAGGAGGGGTTTCTGTTCTGGGGGTCTACCAAGGTCTTTTGAAGTGTAGTGCCACAGAGACAGGCTGGAGCTGGGGAGACAGGAGACCAAAAACGGTTTATAACCTTATGGTGGAAGTCAAGTGTGCAATGCACAGGTATAAACAACAGCCTGCATATTAGGAGAGGATCTGGTGAACCTCCAGGCTGTGGCTTTGCTATCAAACTAGCAACAAGGTATGAATTACCTACTTGTTCCTGTAACTCACTTGCAGAATTCACTTATTCCTATGGGATCACTGGGAAATAGCCCTCTTTGATTAGGTGTGAGTTTCAGTTTGGAATAATGTGCCAATCAATACTAGTACTGAAGTATTTTAAATTTGCTTTGAAGGCCTCCTTATGTTTTTGAATTTTATCTGAATAGCCCCCATTCCTGCTGAGATGACTGTTTTGGAAAAAGGGATTAGCCTATTAGGTTCTATTTTACTGAAATTCATTCCCCTCCTTCTCTCATTCTACTATCTGAATAGCTTAATTGCTTGTGCTTTCCTTTGTTTCAGCTCCGATTCATGGAAAATGAGAGATTGTCTCTTCTGTTGACCCTTCAATCTACAGATGCCCCAAAGCAGGGGTAGGCAACCTTGGCTTTTATGACTTGTGGACTTCAACTCCCAGAATTCCTGAGCCAGCATGGCTCAGCATGGAAACTTCTCCCTTTTCCCTCAGCATGGCTGGCTCAGGAATTCTGGGAGTTGAAGTCTATGAGTCATAAAAGAGCCAAGGTTGCCTATCCCTGCCCCAAAGGAACAGGGGTAGAGGAAAGACTTCAGTGCAAGATTTTTAATTTCGGGTAGCTAGATTTTTCTAAACAGAGGACTCTGGCTGGCTGAAGTCCTTGTAATTAGTGTTAGAGTACTGACTAAATAGAGTTACTACTTCAATCAATCAATCTTTATTACGGTCACAGACCAGCAAATAAAAGCATTAAAACAATAATTAAGAGTAAAAAATAAAAATGAAAGACAGGCAGGATAATTTATTGTAATTGGTGGCTTAACAGTGGGCAGTTAAAGTTTGCCTATTTTTACATACAGTATAACAGAATTTGGCCATATTTAGGGTAGCTACTTTATATCGATCTGGTAACAGTAATTGCATGTAAAAAAGATCAGCATTTCTCGGATATTTTATCAGGTAAGGTATTATGAATTGAGTCTGGGAGTCCTTACAGAACATGCAGTATAGTAGGACATGAGAGTACTAGCTCAATGAGCATTCAGACATAGAATTAGTATACAGCAAGGATTTGCTGCTCTTCTGATGGTAAACTAAAAGGCCCATCTCATCTGTCCTGGCCCCAGACAATGCCACTTAACATAGCCAGAGGTCCTTTGAGAGGGAAAACCTGAGTGCAGAGTATTTATTTTTTTCTTCCAAAATATGTTTCTCTTTTGTGATACTCACACAGAGTTGAATAGATATGCCCGTCCTTGGCTTCCTTGAAAAGACTGTAACAAAAAGGAGAAAGGGGCACAGATCAAAAACAAAATACTTTCCTGTCCCTATTAAACAAATGCCTCCCACTAACCCTGAATACTTTCCACAGTTATTTCTCCTCCGGCCACTCTGTCTCCATGGTTCTCCCCCCCCCCCCCACAACCTTGGGAACCCAAATCTCAGTTGCAGCCTTCAGCCTGTCTCAAGCTGTTTTTATCATCTTCTGTAGACTTTGGTTCTAGACCAGCTGCTTATCTTCCCCTCCCGCTTGGCTGACGGCAAGCAGCCAGAGGCCATCTCTTCCCGGTTTCCTTGTTTATTCTCTAGTTTGCTTTCAAACCCATGTAACTGAATTTAATGATTAATCAGCCACAGCTGAGACCTGTTGCCCTTGTAAGCTCTTGAGAACTGGGGTGGAAGTGGCAGACAAGCCTAGGCAGGCACTCTGAAAGAACTCATTGCCCTCTGTAAATACCCCCCCCCCTTCTCTTCGTGCCTTCTTCTAGTCCCAAATAATTTCCCATCTTTTATTGCTCAGAAATTCTGCAGCCTCTGTAAGGTGTCTCTGGAAAGAGACATAAATGCTGCTGCTGCTTGGAGGCCCTCCCTCTCCTTCTTTGCCTGTTTTTAACTGCATTATTCCCAGAGGAGAAACTTCTAGCTCTAAATTGTGGTTTGCTTGGGAGGTGCTGATTTCTCCTAATAAACCATACCAGCCAGAGTTTGGCTTGCTTAATTCTATACTAATTATAATCTATATTCCCAGGCCTCTGTATTTAACTTACATTAATATTGCTATGTTAGGGTAAACATATTTAAGATATTATTTGACACTGGTCCTGAAATGACTTACAGGTAGTCCTCGGTTTATGACCACAATTGCAATTACTGTAGGGAATTACTGTGGCTGTTAAGTGAAGCATGTGATTGTTAAGCGAGTCTGGCTTCCCCCATTGACTTTGCTTGCCAGAAGCTGGCTGGAAAGGCTGCAAATGGTGATCATATGACCTGGGATGCTGCAGCTGTCATAAATACATGCTAGTTGTCAAGCATTCAAATTCTGATCACCTGACCGTGGGGATGCCGCAGTAGTTGTCACTGCGAGGTTCAATTGTAAACCACTTTTTTCAGTGCTGCTGTAAACAAATGGTTGTAAAATGGGGACTACCTGTACTTACTTGTTAGAGGACTGACAAATTTTAAAGGCGCACAGAAAATTCACAGTAGTAATTTTACATTGGGGTATAAGAAAATATGGCTGTCCTTTCTCTGTTGCCCTTCCGTATTACATTCACCTTTGGCAATTATGTTTTTCTTTTTTTTTTAAATGAGCTAACCAAGGAACAGCAACCTCTTTCCCTTGGATGCTGTGATCTTCTCTAGAGGAGTGTACCAGGGCTATCTCATTCCCTTTTTTGTACCTTGGAGATGAGGTCGTCGTGATTAGCCAGGTGGGCCCGGCAATGCACACAACTGTAGCGACGGTGACAGTTGTCCAGATAGGCCTGAAAAGTTTTGGGTTTGGACAGCCTCACCATTGTGGTGGGAGTCACACCAGGAGAAAAGCTGCAGGAGAGTTGTGGAGAACTAGACAGCTCCTGGAGGAGATGCTGGGGGGGCAGATGAAAGCCCTAAAAAAAGAGGAAGAGGCGGATCACCAACCTACAGAGAACCCATATCAGAAGGGATAGCTTACAGACCTAGAGTCAAAATGCCAAGATTTTGCTTCTTAGCTCTGGGAACTGGCCAGGTTCTGTGTAACCAGTCTGGTATCTAAACAAAAACAATGCCATGTGGTGCTTTCCTTCCTTCCTTCCCTCCCTCGTGCTTTCCCTCCCTCCCTTGGCAGCTTCTCGGAGTCTCAGCCTGTAATTAACCCCAGGATGTAGGTCACAGCTGATCATCCTGTGATGAAAGAAAACTACCTTAGGAGTAAGGCTTTAACTTTCCAAGCCACCCTTCCAATTAATTTCAGGTTAGGTCTTCCTAGTACAGTTTGGCCAGTTTAAGACTTGTGGACTTCAACTCCCAAAATTCCTCAGCCTCACTGTAAACTCTAGACTTTTCTTATAAAACCAGCTTTCTGTTTTCTTTATTCTACCAGATTGTGCACATAACTGTTAAGTATTATAACCAGCCACATACCCCAAACCTAAGAGTAGTTTTCACTTTTGCAGCATGGGCCTTTGTTCAGAGATATAGTTTTTAATCCCACCTTTATTTTTATAAATAGTTCAAGGTCTCAAGGTATGTCTGGACTCAGATCATTTCTGTTTATTTGTCTCCCACCTTTACTGCTATTACAAATAACTCATGGCAGCAAACATATCCAACACAGAGAAGCAACCTAGAACTAAGGAGAAACTTCCTGACAGTTAGAACAATTAACCAGTGGAACAACCTGCCTCCAGAAGCGGTGAATGCTCCAACACTGGAAGTTTTTAAGAAGAGACTGGACAGCCATTTGTCTGAAATGGTATACTATAGGGCAGTGGTGGCAAACGTATGGCATGGGTGCCAGAGGTGGCACTCAGAGCCCTCTCTGTGGGCACACACACCGTTGCCCCAGTCCTAGGCCTTCAGCTGGGTTTTATAAAACCTTTTCGCTTTAGGTCTCTGCCACCGTGTGCAAAAAAAAAAAAAAAGGTTCAATGAATCAGTCAATTTCAACTTCACGTGGGGAAAAAAAGATCTTGCAAAGTTGGAATTGATTGATTGAACTTTTTAGTCCTACCCAGTCTGCCGTTACCACCACATCCATGACTACCCAATGGGCCACGCCCACCCAATGGGCCACACCCACCCGGTACCCAACGATGCATAAGTGGGTTTTGGGTTGCAGTTTGGACACTCAGTCTTTAAAAGGTTCGCCATCACTGGTATAGGGTTTCCTGCCTGAGCAGGGAGTTGGACTAGATGACCTCCAAGGTCCCTTCCAACTTCATTATTATTACATATTCCTCCTATTTTCTTCAGAACAACAGCCCTGTGAGATGGACAGGGCTGAGAGTGACTGACCCAGAGCGACCCAACTGATTTTCATGCCTAAAGTGGGACTAGAATTCACAGTCTCCTAGTTTCTAGCTGGGTGCCTTTACCACTAGACCAAACTGGCAACTGCCTTCTGCTTGGTTGAGAGGGAAGGGAAAGTCAAGGCAGAAAGTAGCAAAGTCTAGAAAGCATACTTGGTGGTGACAGACATCAACAACTTGTCACAGAATAGCAGGCAACCTTCAGAGTTGTGAAATGATGGAGGGATCTTCTGCTAAGCCAAGAAGAAGGCAGAAGGAATCTAGAGGAATTATGTTACATGATGGCAAGGGGCAGCTTCAAAGAAACACAACAAAGGGCTTGGAGAATTGTGTGGCACTTAATTGCAGCCAAACCAGAGGCATTGGAGACATAGAATAAGGCACAACATGAGACAGACAGCTAGCTGGAGAAGAATGGGGTAGACACAAAGCAGCCTTGAAGATGAGAGAAGAGGAGGAGCAGAGCGAGGGGATTGCTAGAAAATACAGTGGGCTAAACCAATCAGCTGGAGAGGTATTTGAGGGGAGGCGGGCAAGAGGAAAATCTCTGGAAGGAAGTATGGAGGCTTGGTTATCAAAGGGGGTGGGTAGAGTGGTTGTCTGGAACCTCATGGTGGAGGAGGAGAAAGGTGCTTCCTTCAAAGGTAAGCAAACCAGCCAGTCGGGCAGGCAAGGAAATGCTGAGCCAGGAAAAATGTTGCCCAAGACTCCATACATCTCCCTGGAAGCTGGATTTGTGCTTTGACTTTTTTTAGAGAAGATCTTAGCATTTGGGAGAACTTAAAGATCCAACTTAACCCCCCAACCCCCGTTTTTCCCCCCTCTTTCCTAAGCTAGCTTTAAACTTAAAGCAAGTTATGAATATCTACCCTGCAGGCAAACACGCAACCTCTGCTTTTCCATGTGTGGCCATGGCATAGAGGTTTTTTATTTCCCCATCTTTTTATATTTCCCCATAATTTCTTGAAGAATCTACATTGAACACAAAAATTACTGGTAGGCTAAGGAAAGAGAGGAATATAACAAGGGATGAACATGAGGAATAGCTAGACAGGAGAAATAAAGGAAGAAGTGAAAGGAAGGAAACAAAGAAGGAAGTGGGTTTTTTTTAAAAAAAATACAGTTCCTTTATTTTTTAAAAAAGGATTTGTTTACAACTTTGAAAAAGATTTTTAAAAAATCTTTAATGTCATCGCATTATTCGCTCTCAACCTATGTGTGTGTGTGTGTGTGTGTGTGTGTGTGTGTGTGTGTATATATATATATATATATATATATATGCATATATATATATATATATATATATATATATATATATATGCATGCTATCAAAGTTCCCAAGGAACTGTAACAAAAAAAAATATTGTTCTTCTAAATAAATTACATATTTGCCAGTAACAGTTGCAACTGAGATTCTCTTCTAAACAATATCCAAGACAGTTTTAAGAAAGAACAGAAACATATTAGCCATAACTAATAGGGAGTTTAATTGTTTACCAGCAATTTATTAATTGCTTTTCTACTAGAAAATACATATATGTTTTTGTCTGAACACCAAATGAACCCGACCATGTAATTCAAATACTATCTTTTGCACATTTATTTTAGAAGATAATAAGGCTTTTTTAAATATGATAAAATATATACCAGGTATGAGGAGGGATTTTCTTAAGCTAATTTGTTTTATACGTGAGGCCTATAAATAAGCAATGAGCTTATCTGACTTTAATTTCTGTTTTGATAATGGAAAAGATTATTATTGCCATGTTATATTGTGCTCTAAGAACAATATACTTATTTGTTTATATATAGCAATTCAACTCTGGTATAGCAAGTAAGAAATAAATGGGCATGATAAGATATTGAAATGATTTGAACCTCAAGAAAATATAATGGTTCTGATATATCAAATATAGGGTGCCTGTAGAAACACACCCAGAAATAGGCTATTGGGGACACTTTAATGAGAGAAAAATAAGAATAGAGAAAGACATGAGACAAGCTGAAGTATCTTGGTTTTCTTTTATTATAACAATCGTGCACTTTATATTTACTTATTTTATAACTGTTAAACAGGAAGCTTGAAATATACATGTAGAAAAAGAGGAGGTTGATATAGAGGGTGGGGACAGTTGATGATAGGGCTGGGATGACAGTCATAAACTGAAAATTGTGTTTGTGTTCTCTGCCAGAGGCAAATAGCAAGATTGTTGAGTAATAGGCGAAATTTTATATTTCCGTATAAATTGTAGGACCACTCATCCAAACATTTACTTCTGTTTATTAAAAACTTCCTAACATGTGAACTTTTAGAATAAGAAAAAAGGATATGGAAAGTTGGAGGTGCAAACCACTCCCCTCTTTCTACTAAAACTTTTGAAAAATAGCAGCACTGCAAACTGGAAAAATTAAATTCCGGTGACTGATGGACAGAAAAAGGAGAGAGAACTACTTGCTCAGAGAGAGACTAAGGGAGGGTTAAAACCAGCTTTCATAAACAGTTCCGTCGTTTGGCTACCAATCGATATTGTGCTGGAAACTACCCTCCAAGGACAAAAACGCAAACCCGGGACTGCTCAATAGATAAAAGATGCCACCTGATCCCGAATTAGAGACTCTTGAAAACGGATCCCTCTCTATAGCATTTCCTGTGGGATCAGAGGAGGCGCGGACCATTGCGAGGGGAAGAAAATTAAACCCCCTGCTGAAATAATAAAGGGAACATGAGATTATCACAGGAAATAAGCTCTCTCGGCGTGGTCAGGATGAGTGCAATAATTGGAATCCTCTGAAAAGGATCCGCTGGAATCCTTTTCCTCCCTCTCCGTTCTGATAGCTGGAGATCCCCCTTTTGAGGCGGGGTCAGCGGGTCGCTGGAAATCGGAGCCACAAACATCCACTACCTTCCCCTCCCTTCATTCCTGCAGGAGAACATAAGGAAGCCGTGCGTGTTTTTATTTATATGCACGGAGAGACAGACACGCACCGCGAGCCTTTCGTGGGGAAGAACGCGTCCACGGACGCCGCCGTTTCCCTTAAGCCCTTCCCCCATCTCACCTGTCCGAAGAGCAACGGCGAAGCGCCCCCGCGTCGGATGGTGCCTCGATGCGGCTTTTGGGGAGGGGAGTCGCCCCGCCGACAGACCCGCAGCCCCCCGCGAAGAGCTCCAGCTGGGAGTCTAGACTTCCTCTTGTTTACAAACCCAGGCTGTGAAACAAAGGTGTCTCCTCCCCCTTCCCCCCTCCCTCCTCCTTTCTGCGGGCTTCCCCCTCCGCTCCTTCCTCTTTCCACCCAGCCAATCGGGGCGGCTATGCAAATAAACTGCAGAGCTGATAAAAGGGGAGGGGACACGCGCGGGGAGGCCGCGCTTGATTTGGCACGGAGTGGGGGCGGGGCGGGGCGCGGCGAGGCCGTCGGGAGAGATGGCGTGGCTGGGCGGCGCGCGTGGGCCGGCCCTGAAAGCGACGGGCCTCTGGGCGTGTGCAGAGTGCCTTGCGCGCAGACGATCGTGCGGCTTGGGAGGGGGACTTTTTTCTTTGGAAACGATGTCTAGAGGCATAGTTGGGGAGGTTAGTCTTTTTTACATCGAAAATGGCATCTTGTAAATGGCAGTAATACGCTTTAATACGCTCCCATGCCTGGCAGATTTTTGTACTGATGAAACAGAGGATCCGGCAAACAAGTCAATACTGAAATTGACCTTTCTGCTGATAATGCTTTTTAAAATTCTGGATATTAAAATGTAAACATGTAAACACCATCATCACTATAGTAGAAGTTCTTCCCCCAAGGCAGACCACATCTTTTATCTTATGGGGGTGTCTTATTAAATCCAGGAGTTGCAGACTCTACATTCCAGTAAAAAGGAGGTGGTGGCGGGGAATTGTAAATCGTGGGATCTGAACAATTATTCTGTGCTTGGGTATTTTGGAAAACCACTGCAAGCTAAAGGAAACAATATTGATCTGGGAGGGGAAGATGGTCATTGTGAGTCAGGGTTAGATGTCAGGAGGAAGGAAATTGTCTGGCATGCCTGCAACAAAGTAGACTAGATTAAAGTTTTATAGTTGAGCAGGATCTGAATCTGCATATAATGAGTTCAGTTCCACAAGTTGGCTAATACCAGAAAAATAACCATGTTGCAGTGAAACCAAGTCCAATGTTGCTGATTAGATTAATATATGCATTTTTGGCATCAGTTGTGATGGCCACAATCTGTTTTACCAGCTGCATAAAATGACATTTTAAAAAGTGGATAGGCAGTGGATAGGCCAGTTTGGTCTAGTGGTTAAGACAGAAGGCTAGAAACCAAAAGACCATGAGGTCTAGTCCCTCCTTAGACATAAAAGCCAGTTGGATGATCCTGGGCCAATCACGCTCTCTTACCCCAGCCCACCTCACAGGGTTATTGTTGGGAAAATAGAAGGAAGAAAGTGTGTTGGATATTTTTGCTGCCTTGAGTTATTTGTAAAAGTAATAAGAGATGCAAATAAACAAAAATGACCTGAGTCCAGATAGAGAAACAGTGCGTTTTACCCACCTCCAGCCTGAGATAGAATACAGCACATCATAATACTATGCAAAACATGAATGAATGCCCAGTTATCAAGAGACAACATGATCTAATCAGCATGGCTGTAATCTTTGTCTAACCAGCAACTGCTGATTCTAGCACAGAGGAAGACAGATATTGTACATTCCCCAATTATCTTGTCCTTGTCTTTGGACTTGATAAGATTGACTTTGGTTAAGGAAATCCAATGGTTTCCTTTTACTCTAATGAAAGTATTTGTCAATGTGATTATTTTTAATTGGCTTCCATAGAAGCCTAAAAACCTTGCAGCTTTTTTGTTTATGACCCTACTTTGTCAGTTGGATTTATGGGCTACATTGATATGCTTGAAATGAAGTAGAATGGGAGATAGAAATGAATTTACTTGCTAAGATAGCTGCAGACCTGCACATACGCAGCTTGTGTGATTGTGGGTGTTTTCCAAGTTGTTGCCTTTGCCTTTCTTTATTGTTTACTTGGCTTAACTGCAGCCAGCTCTAGCAAATATTTGAAAGGGAGTGTCCCCTAGTGGTTAGGAGTGGGAAGACCTGGGTACCAATTCCCACTCAGCTATGCAGCTTCTTCAGAAAATGTTGATTTTTTACTTCTCATTCTAAAACACACGCAGAGTGGGTTTGGACAGAAGAGATTGAAGAAACTGGACAGCCATCTATCTGTAATAGGGTTACAGGGGGTTAGACTAGAAGATGTCCAAAATTCCTTCCAATTTTGTTATTCTATATTCTGCTTGTGAGAATAGCCCTGGATATATGACAAAGAGACCCAAGTCTTCAAACCAAGAGAAAAAGAACTTGATAAAACTATGTATTTAAGATTGATTCTATTTATTGTCCAAATAGTGGACAATAGTGGTGGCGAACCTATGGCACACGTGCCAGAGGCGGCACCCGGAGCACTCTCTGTGGGCACACGTGCCATTGCCCCAGCCTTGCCTCCCCCCATGACCCCATCCTTTCCAGCAGCCCCCCTGGAGGAGAGTCGCCCCCGAGCGTGGCCCACATGGAGCAGCACAGCCAAGGACATGGTAGCCAGGCAGCATAGAGAAGACTCTGCCCTCATGCCCCATCCCACACAGTTGATGCTGCGGGGTGCGGGCAGAAAGTGTGGCCGCCATGGCACTGCTGGGCTGCCTGGGCAATCTGCGGCAGGCCCTGGAGTCGGTGAGTGGCCCTGTGGGCAGGCGGGGTGGGGGATGGGGTGGGGGCAGGGCGGGGCAGGGGCGGGGCAGGGGATGGAGTGGGCGGGGCCAATTTTTGGGCACTCGGTCTCTAAAAGGTTTGCCATCACTGAAATAGTACAATGTGATCTATTATTCCTATCTATGTGATTTCTAAGAGTCAACAATAAGCCTGGGAGGCTTACAATAGGAAAAAGATACATATGAAAACAATTAAAATCAAGAAGTGTTAAAAACTAAAACCAAAGGGATGGATAGCAGGGGAATGAGTTCTTCTTACTACAACAAGCACCTGTGGAACCCCAAGCCACCTGGCAAAATCAGGTTTTAAGGACCTGAAAGGCCAGGAAGGTGGGAGCATAACTCATTTCTGGTGGTAGAATATTTCACTGGGTGGGGGCTACAGCAGAAAAGGCTCTCCTCTTTGACCTTGTCAGCTGTAACTCGAATACTTTTCAAAAGTAACCCCATGTAGAATCAGTGTGCTGCAGTAATTGCATTCGCATTTATGCTAAACTCCAGGACCTAATCCATGGTGGCTTGGCTTGACAACAATGTACCAACAAAACACTGGACTCGGACATTCCTGTACAGGTAGTCCTCAGGTTAGGACCACAATTGAGCCCAAATTTCAAGACAGTTGTTAAGTGAATTTGGTCTCATTTTACAACCTTTCTTGCCACAGTTGTTAAGTAAATCATTGCAGTTATTAAATTAGCAACACGGTTGTTAAATGAATCTGGCTTCCCCATTGACTTTGCTTGTCAGAAGTTGCAAAAGGCGACCCCAGGACACTGCCACTGTCATAAATATGAGTCAGTTGGCAAGCGTCTCAATTTTGATCACGTGACCTGCAAATATGAAAAACTGTTTTTTTTTTCAGTGCCATTATATCTTCAAATGGTCACTCAATGAACTGTTTGTAAGGCGAGGATTACATGCAGTGGGAGCAAACGTAGCAGAGATCATGTGAGCATGCATTGCTCTTTCAGAACATTTCAGCATCATTCCTACATCTCACAGAATACTAGGAAGACGTTGGCCTTAAGAGGAGGATTCAGAGATGGTAACCCAAGCGGAAGACACATCAGGAATAGCTTAGAGCGGGGGTCCTCAACCTTGGCAACTTTAAGACTTGTGGACTTCAATTCCCAGAATTCCTTTGCTTTGCTGGCTGAGGAATTCTGGGAGTTGAAGTCCACAAGTCTTAAGGTTGCCAAGGTTGAGGACTCCTGGTTAGAGTACCAGGAATGTGCCCAGGAAGGGTGGGGACTGAGGGCAAATTAATCATCTAGGAGAACTTGTTGACCCTCCTTTTTTTTTTTTTTTTTTTTGCATCCATGTCAATAATCACAGAAAGAAAAGGAAAATAGGTCTAAGAAAGGCCACAGATGAAATTCTACCACCGATTCACTCGTTCTTAGAGCACACCCCCCTCCTTTATCTTATACAGTATAAATGAGGCCATCTCTCACTTCCCTGGTCTCCATTAAAATATTTGGCTAGAACATTAGAACAATCTGATGTTGTGCCAAGGACTTAAAGTTGGCATTTCTTACCAAATCCTTACAACTGATCTTTCTTTTGTGGGACTTGTCTCTTTGTTTGCATACCTGTTGTTGAAACAGTGAGAAATGTCTGGGACAGCGTAAAGGTTGCCTTGATAACTTGTCATCTACCTCCAAGAATTTAATGCTGAATGAAGTTGTTGTTCTCCTCTGACAACTAAAGCTTCTAGTAAAGTAGTAGAGGGATGGGTAGCTTGTGATTTTAGATCTTGGCAACTTTGAGATGGGTGGAATTCAAGTCCCAGAATTCCCTAGCCAGATCTTCAGCTGATTTCAAGAGCCTTCCTCAAGCCAATTTTAAGTATAGGTTTCTACATGTAGATTTCGACAGGAGGGGATTTTAAAAGAAAAAAAAATCAAGAAAATGGCTATGACTGCATGATCGAAGCCCACCGCTTTTTAATGTGAATTGCGCACATAGTGAAAGGGATGGGGCTACAGTTGTGTGGGTGTGGCCACCACATTGACTCTCCATCCATTTAGATGTAGGATATTCCCCAGAAAATAACAATAATAATAATAACAACAACAACAACAAAATGATCTTGGAAAACTACAAGAAAAGGAAGACCAACCTGAATGTGGCATGGATTGACTACAAAAAGGCATTTGACTCTCTGCCACATGACTGGATAATCAAGTGCCTAGAAATAACAGGAGTCAGTAGAAACATCAGAAAATTTGTGCAAAGATCAATGGCACAATGGAAGACACAGTTGCAGATCAATGGTGAGAGACTGGGAGAGGTTAATATCAAGAGAGGAATATTTCAAGGAGATTCATTATCACCATTACTATTTGTTATTGCACTGTTTCCTTTGTCAACAATACTGAATAACTCAGGACATGGCTATCAAACATCAAAAACATCTGCCAGACTATCCCATCTCCTTTACATGGATGATCTGAAGCTG